AAAAAAAAAAAAAAAAAAAAAAAAAAAAGAACAAGCAACTCTGTATTAACTTATTTTTGTGGGTTATAAAGAGAGTGAGAATTGGAGAAGTACAACTGACAAAGAAACCTAATAAACAGGACATAAAAGGAAGCCACTTGCCTTCCTCAGGTTCAGCTATAATTTGATTTATTTATGAGGCACAGGAAGGACAAGTATTTTCACTCCATCTTTTTGTGCTGGGTAATATTACACAATAATATGTATTAAAAAGTCATTTATCTGAAATGAAATGTATTCTTGAAACCTATCTACAGAATGTAACAAACAAAACCTTTAACCCAAAACATTCTTCTATATAAACCTAGGAACACACCCAAGTGAATATCACCAGTAAAGTTCCCTAGATTCTGCAGAAATGACAAACTATGAACAAAGCAATATATTTTCATGCCCTCATAAATTATCAAATGAACCTCCCCAAAAATCACAGAAGCAGGGTCATACGGAGAGTCTTTTGCTAGTTTGCCCTCCACTCCCAAACAGGCTAAGTCACTTAAGATACAGATGTGGATAAAAATAATTTTGTACAATGCCATTCTTTAGCCACTAGGTTTCCCACGTTTGGGGTTTACAAAATCTATAAAACCATAGGGTTATGGAATGCAAATAAAATCTGACCCTAAATAATCTTTTTCTTTACCATTGCTGACATTCCTCAAAACCCTAGATCTTTTCTTTCAAAATAATGAAAATTAGCAGGAGGCTCATCAACAACAGACTCCCAGGGTCTCACTGTCAATAAAATCGGTGCCATGCAACAATCAGTGTGCTTCTGGGGAAGAGTCTCTAAGTGGAAACGTAATACACAGAAGGATGATAAACGTTAAAATGTTTTCCTAATTGGGGGAAAAAATTCAACAGCTATTGAAAAAATTCAATAGCTAAAATTCAACAGCTAAATTCAACAAGTAAAAGGCTGCCTTTTATTGAACTGTCATGCTCTCTCTCCAACAGGCAGGCAGTGGAGACATTCTAAGAGCATTACCTTTAGGAGGAAAATACGACTTGCTTTCAGCTTTGTGAGGCCAGTCTACCACGAGAGGTCCAAACCTGCGAAAGCTGGCAGTGATCTCATCTACAAAACAAAGAAAGAATCTTATCAAAAGAGAAAAAAATATTGCAATCAGAAAACCAGAATAGCACAAAACATGTCTTTTTAGTTTAAAAAAATGTTTTGAGGGTTGTTTTCTAAAGCATTTTTACAGAAGTGAAACCTACTAAGTGAAATACCATTGCTTGGGTGTACATTTGGTTATTCATTTTTAATCATGAAAAGTGTGTTTCTAACTATAATTCATTTCTTTTCACTGCCAATAAACTTGACATAAAGAATTTGGAAGAAAAATATCTCATATTAAACTAAGGTGACTTCTATGTCAAATAGAAAGATTCTAAAAATAGGAATGTTCTCTGATTTTTAGGAAGAAAGTAACATACAGAAAATATTTAAAATATGGTTTCACTTGTATGGAACCTCTAAGATTATTTAAGAAACAGATATGATTCTTTTGGTGAGGAGTAGGGGCAATAAGTAGGTAATTCCATTGGGTGATAAGAAAATGTTGACAGCCAATACTATCTTTAGTAACTACATATTACATATCCTATATAGAAAATATATCAAAAATTATAGATCAACACATTTATATTTTCCTTCTGACATATGACTCAAAGCAGAGGTTATAACCTGGCTCCTACTCAGGTTTAGGGTACCACTCTCTCAGCCATGATCTTAAGAATTGTCTTGAAGAAAATCTAATCAATAGATGAGATTAACATGAATACAAGAACAATTTGGAGGAAAATAAGCGTTCAGCTATGTATAACTTTAATGTAGTTAGTCTAAAATAACACTACTTTTTGAGACTTTTCTCCTCTCACCATGAAAAAAGGAAATCATGATAAATTAGAAGTGTGTCATAGCCAGAAAAATGCTGGAAAAACAAGACTGTTAGAATATCAGACAGTATTTTTATATCAGACCCAAAGCCTACTGGAACTAGAGTTGTTTTTTGCTTAAGTTAACTTTGTCACAATTTTATTTCATTCATCCTTTCAACAAATATTTATTGACAACTTACTGTGTGCTAAAATAAACTGGCTTTAGGCATAAGTGAACACTCACTTTTGGACTGATAGCATCTCAAAACTATTATTAAGAAAAATTCAAATTCATTTTCATTCTTTTAAAGAGGGGGATTATGCTTTTTTAAATAGGTATTTATTTTTATTTATTTATTTACTTATGAGACAGGGTTTCACTCTGTCACCCAGGCTGGAGTTCAGTGGTGTGGTCACAGCTCACTGTAACCTCAAACTCCTGAGCTCAAGTGACTTCCCACCTCAGTCTCCCAAGTAGCTGGGAATACAGGCATGCACCACCATACCCGGCTAATCTTTTTATTTTGTAGAGACAGGGTCTTGCTATGTTGCCCAGGCTGGTTTTGAACCCCTGGGCTCAAGTAATCCTCCCACCTTGGCCTCCCAAAGGACTGGGATTACGGGCGTGAGCCACTGCACTGGCCAGTATTTATATTAAAATGTGAGATGGTCTGGTGTGATGGACATAAGCAAAAGCTCTGGAATCTAATTGAATTTGAGTTGTAACTGCACCATCAGCTGTATAACCCTGAACAAATTATTTCTCTCTGATCCTCAGTTTCCTTATCTATAAAATGGAGATGCTAGGATATCCTTATAAGATAGCTATGAGGATTAAATGAGATAATGTAACATGAAGTACTTAGTACAATAATAGACTATTACTTTCTAATCTACCAAATAGTCTCACCTCCTATACACTAAGATATAAATGTCCTAAAGTTGACTTGGAGAGGAGAGGCAGGGTCAGAACACACAAAGAACAAACTCAGCCTTTGCAAAATCATTAATGAATGCATAGTACCTTCATCAATATCAGGAGGAAGGCCTCCAACAAACACCTTTCTAGAGTAGCGTTCTACTCGTTCCCCATTTTGACAGCGAGTGGGAGAACTTAAGCCAGATGACAAGGCCTGATCGCCGTGGCTGTCGTCCAGGAAGGCATCTTCAAAGGGAAAGAGAGAAGATCGACCTGAAACAAATGCGGGAGTTTCTATAATTAAAATGATTTTCTAGGACAATAAATGCTCTATTAGAAGCCCGAAGTGCAGAGAGAAGCATACAAAACAAAAGTGTCCTGAGCTGTGACTTTTCCAAGATTACCAGGACTGAAGATTACCAGATCTAGATAACTTTTTATCATCATTTTTGTGTGAGGGTATGCACAGCTGTGGGATGACCAGATTGCTAACTAAAGAAAAAGAATCGTCCAGGTGGGCATGGTGGCTCATGCCTGTAATCCCAGCACTTTGGGAGGCTGAGATGGCTGCGTCACCTGTCAGGAGTTCGAGACCAGCCTGGCTAACATGGCAAAACCCTGTCTCTACTAAAAATATAAAAATTAGCCAGACATGGTGGTGCATGCCTGTAATCCCAGCTACTCAGGAGGCTGAGGCAGGAGAATCGCTTGAACCCAAACCCGGGAGGTGGAGGTTGCAGTGAGCCAAGATCGTGCCATTGCACTATAGCCCGAGTGACAAGAGTGAAACTCAGTCTCAAAAAAAAAAAAAAAGCATCAAAATTTCAGTGGTTTCCTTGCTAAAAAATCACTACATTTTACTCATTCAGTCTCTATCATAGCTACTAGGAGTATATTCAGCAGCTTTTTTTTCTTTCTTTAGTCATTTCTTAAAATAAATGGACAAAGTAATCTCTATCCACAGATTTTTACCTGCTCTTTACAGTATCCTCAGAGGTTTAGTTCTAAAGAGTGGTCCTGATAGCCAAGGGAATACAAAACTGGTGACAGACGCTGACAACTTCTTTTCTAATAGCAGAACTAAAGATCATCAAGTTTTCCTTGTCATTCCAAGCTACTCCAATTTGGAAATAAACATATGCAATAATAAAGGACAGGGTAAATAAATGAAAACACATAACTTAAGATGTGGGAGTATAAATGTGGATGTGGTTATGAAACCCTTAACCCTACCAATTTAGGCTATATTTTATATCACTCAAAAAATATATAAAAAGAAATGAAAAAAGAATTATTTTCATTAACTTTATAGCCAAATGAAGTTTGTAGATCAAAAGTACCTACCCACTCCACATGACTATAAGAAAGATACCAGCAGTTAGAGTCAGCAGTAAATTTACCAGCAGTAAATGTAATACAATAATGCCATTTGGCATTACAAAATAAAATCTAAATTTAAAATCAAATATATTTCCTGTTTGAGTCAGTGACTTCCTAGTAAAACTTTCCACTAGGTTCCACTCTAAAAATGAATCATTAGAGCACTCTAACTTTTGCGGGGGGAAAGGAAAATTCCCCTCTAAAGTAAATTCATATACTCTTAAAAAAAAAAAAAAAAAAAAAAAAAAAGCAGTGTCTTCCCCATTTAGTCTATCCTATCTTTATTTCCCTGAAACCTAGGTTTTTTGTGTCACAACAGCCATTCTATCAATAGCCCTTAGAAAAATACTGAACATGTAATTCTTTTACAAAAAAGTTAAAGTTATTAATATAACTCTGGTTATTTCGTGAACAACTCAGTTAGTGTAAGAAAGACACCGTTTTAATGCTAGGAGTTAAATAAAAAGACCAAAGAATTTTTTGTTCAGTTTTCCCCAGCTTAGCTACAAAGAAACAGAACAAAATCTGTCATCTCATGCCACCTATCTTTTTTAGCCTGGCAGCAACAAACAATAGACAGTAAATTATCATCCCTTGATGTTTGTTTTGATCACTGGGGGTGAAAGAAATACATTTGCAGCAACTATAAGCAAAAAGAGCTTCCCAAAAACATCCAGTGACATTCTCCTAGAGCTGACAGGTTTGCTTTATTCCATAGACCACACTCAGTGAATTACATGCCTACTCAGTGTCAGGCACATGCGCAAATCAGCATTTCCCACTGAGTGTTCCTAACTCCACCTCTTACCTTCAACACTAGTAACATTAGATACTCAGAAAACAAGAGCTGGGGAAGGGGAAAATAAATAAGCCGGGGAAAAAATGCATATGTTATGCCTTTCCACCTCAGAAAATAAAAGGCTATGAAAAATTCTACAGTAAAGAAACATTGACTGGCCAGGCATGGTGGCTCATGCCTGTAGTCCCAGCACTTTGGGAGGCCGAAGCAGGTGGATCACTTGATTCCAGGAGTTCAAGACCAGCCTGGGCAACATGGTGAACCCCGTCTCTACAAAAAATACAAAACTTAGCCGGGCATGGTGATGCACATCTGTAGTCCCAGCTACTGGGGAAGCTGAGGTGGGAGGATCACTTGAGTCCAGGAGGTAGAGGTTGCAGTGACCTGAGACCGCACCACTGCACACCAGCCTGGGTGACACAGTGAGACCCCGTCTCAAAAAAAAAAAAAACAAAAAAACAAAAAAACAAACAAAAAAAAACATTGCCGGGCGTGGTGGCTCACGCTTTTAATCCCAGCACTTTGGGAGGCCGAGGCGGGCAGATCATGATGTCAGGAGATCAAGACCACGGTGAAATCCCGTCTCTACTAAAAATACAAAAAATTAGCCGAGCGTGGTGGTGGGAACCTGTAGTCCCAGTTACTCGGAGATGCTGAGGCAGGAGAATGGCATGAACCCAGGAGGCGGAGCTTGCAGTGAGCCAAGATCACGCCACTGCACTCCAGCCTGGGCACAGAGCGAGACTCTGTCTCAAAAAAAACAAAAAACAAAAAACAAAAAAAACCAACATTAACTTACGCCAGCATTACCCAGATGTTAAAGTAACCCTTCACTATACAAAACTCAGTGGAAAACACTTGAGGAAATATTCACCCATATTTCAGTGACACCGAACAAATAAGATACTTCCTTGCCAAAGAAATCATAGTCTGGTGGGGGAGACAGGCGAGTACATAAATAATTATAAAACAGATACGCTAAGAGAAGACTTTACCAAGTGATGCAAGAGCACAATTTACTACCCTTCTGGAGATGGGCGGGGAGAGATTTTTAGAGTATTTTCACAGGAGGGCAATTTTGAGCAGAATCTTGTCAGAATGGGAATTTCTGAAGTAAAAGAACAAGAAGCCACAGAGTAAGTACTGTCAAAACAGCTCTTGATCTTTCCCTCCAAAATTGTTCCTTCTCTAGTAGTCCCTAAACTCTCAATAAAAAATGCTGATTATCCACACTGGATTCAATCTAGAAACCTAGAAATCATCCTTGGCATCTCCCTTTCTCTTACACTCCATGTCAAATCCATCTCTTGAATTAGTCTGCCAATTCAAGCAGACTAAATAGTCTGTTTAGTCTACTGACTTTTACCTTCTACCCCACAATGCTTTCTCCACAAAACAGCCAAAGGTACCATTGTCAAACATTAATTTGAACATGTAAGCACACTCCTCATCCCATCCTCAAAAGCCCTCAATGATTTCCCATTACTTTTTGGATAAATTTTAAAAAAATTACTGTCAACTGCAAGGCCTCTGCACACCTCTTCTACATCACAGTTGCTGCCTCTCCCTCTTGCTCACTAACTGCCAATCACACAGACCTCTTTCGTATTTCCGATTATTCCTCCTTGCTGCAGGCCATAAGGACAATGTGTTCCCTCTACCTAAAACAAACATACCCTTTTCAACTCTCCAATTTTCTAATTAATTCCTACTAATTCTTCAGGTCTCAGCTGAAAAGTCTTCCTCAGGTCAAACTCTCCTAAACCTTTAGATTAGGTTAGATTCCCTTTTCTAGCCACACACAGCTCCCTGTACTTCTCCTTCCTAACACTTTCCCCAAGGACCATTATACCATTTGGATGCGTTTTTATTGAGTATCTCTTTCCCTAACCCTATTAAATTGAAAACTCTATTAGGATGGGACCAATTTAATCTTGTTCACCACTGTATCTTCCTGCCCTAATTAGGTCACATAAAAGGCACACCAAAAATGTTAAATGTGAGGCAGCATCCAGGGAAGGAAAACAGTATGTGCAAAAGCATGTGGCTGCAAATCTATGATGAAACACAATACACAGGTGTGAGAATGACAGAGATGTAATCATGTCCTAGAAAACTGAGACCTTTCCTATTGCTTTTTTTTTTTTTGAGACGGAGTCTTGCTCTATCGCCCAGGCTGGAGTGCAGTGGCGCAATCTCAGCTCACTGCAAGCTCCGCCTCCCCGGTTCACGCCATTCTCCTGCCTCGGCCTCCTGTGTAGCTGGGACTACAGGCGCCCACCACCACACCCAGCTAGGTTTTTTTTTTTTGTATTTTTAGTAGAGACGGGGTTTCGCTGTGTTAGCCAGGATGGTCTCGATCTCCTGACCTCGTGATCCGCCCGTCTCGGCCTCCCAAAGTGCTGGGATTATAGGCGTGAGCCACCGTGCCTGGCCTCCCATTGCTTTTATTTGGTCAGGCATTAATGTTCTACATTACAAAATGGAAAAAATTATTTTCCCACTTTTCGAATTTAATATTTATTTGAATACTGGTTTTTTTGTTTTGTTGTTGTTGTTGTTGTTTTTTGAGACACAGTCTCGCTCTGTCACCCAAGCTAGAGTGCAGTGGCACAATCTTGGCTCACTGCCACCTCTGCCTCCCAGGTTCAAAGGATTCTCCTGCCTCAGCCTCCCCAGTAGCTGGGATTATAGGCATGTGCCACCAGACCCGGCTTATTTTTCTATTTTTAGTAGAGACAGGGTTTCGCCAAGTTGGCCAGACTGGTCTCGAACTCCTGACCTCAAGTGATCTGCCTGTCTCTGCCTCCCAAAGTGCTGGGATTACAGGTGTGAGCCACTGTGCCCAGCTCTAATACTAGCTTTTTTTGAACTACACTAACTCCATAGAGACCATGATATTCTCACCCAATCGATCTTCTGTCCTGTCAGAATGACTTCTCTAAGATATCTATGACCATGTTAGTCCTCTAACCAAAATCCTACCATAACTTCTATTACTTCCACCAACATTTTGAACTTAGGGAGGGGGTGGATGAGGTGAGAGTCTGAAGAAATCTATGACTGTCCAGATGAGACATGAGGAAGTCTTGAA